CCCCAAAACCCCAAAACCCCAAAACCCCGCTGTAATTAAAAAAATTGACTATGTTGTGTATAAATTTGTAAGAATTAGTATGTATAATTTAGAGATGAACTGAGAAACAACTGATTGAGGAAGTGTAAGGGAATACTTTTGTAAGGATCATCAAGAGGTACTGTGACAGGATTGATGCCAAACTTTTCACTTTCAATGAGGATTTCAGGTGATTTCTGGACCTGAGAAGATGAATAAAGCTATTGAACTGGTTGAAAGGTTTGTAGAGAGTTTATGTGGAGAGGCGAAGAAATATGGATTATTGGGGAAGATTAAAGGCTTAGAAGAGTCTTTGAAAAATATTACTGATGCTGTTCAGAAGTTAAGAGAAGAATCAAATTCGGCTATACAGAATGATGAGTTCTTGGAATATGATAAACTTAAATTTGAAGCTCATAAGATTAAATCAGATATCTTGAACTCAAAATGTTATCAATATCATAGTGGAATCAATCATATTTTTGAACTTTTGTTCTATTTGCAACTATCAAAATGTTCAAACTCACAGAAGGAACAAGAAGAATCTCAAAAGACTAGAGGAGAAAATAAAACTAGCTATAATTATAAAGGAGTAACTGTTGATACCAACCAACCAGCAAGTAATGCATGAGAAAAGCAAGATAATGAATCAGATGATAGCCATATCCAAGATATCCAAGAGAATCAGGAGAATATAGATGAAACTGATGATGAGATGGGGAGTATTCATTAAATCAGAAAGCTTCAAGAGGTTATCGAAGAGTTAAAGAGAGAGATTTCGATTTGTAAAGAGAGAGCTTCAAAAGATGAAGCCATTAAATCTTCTATGTTAATTAATCTTGAAGAAATCAAATTCAAGATGGACCAAATGAAAGTTCAAAATTCAAAGCTCAAGAAAACAGTGAAGAAATTGAGATGTACGATTGAGCAATCAAATACAGTATTAAAGGAGCACAGAAGAATTAAATTTGCAAAATTTATTAGAATCATACTGTGAAAACTTTTGAGACTGATCAGAAAAAGATATTAAATATAGTCTTTGAAGATGGAAATTGGGACAAAAGAAAAATTAACTTGAAAAATATTGATATTGAAATCCCAGAATTGACAGGAATATCAATAGACGAACTCAAAGATAAACACTTAAACATGCTAGACAAATTCTTATTTAAATCAATAGTTGAAAATATTTCCCTCTTTCATTTGAAGCAATTCTATTGTAAATTCTTTGACGGATCAAAGATTATAAAAGGGCTTTCGCAAGCTTTACCAAAAATTACCAAAGAGGTATCTCTCCAAAGACTCAACTTGACTTCTACAGACTTCTCTAAAATTCTGTCCAGTTCAGCCCAGACCCAACGATGCATTCTCAAAAACTGCAAGCTCACCATCGATTCTCCTCTCTCAATTACTGCAAAGAACTCTAGCATGAATCATTTGGGATTAACAAGTTTAGAATTAATAAATTCAGAGCCTTCAAAACCTAAAACCAAAGAAGATCTATTTGAAATGATCATCGAAGCAATTAGTGAGTCACCTATTGGAGAAACATTACGAGTACTGAATATCTATTTCTCTAGCCTTGATAAATGCGAAATTGAAGAAAGATTAGATAAGTATGGACTTGAAGAGATAGTTGTGATGTGCTCCTCATTTGATGTCTTGTGAACTAGCTAATCTTAATTTTATAAGAGTTTCAAATGAGACTTGAGAGTTAGGGGTTTTGGGGTTTTGGGGTTTTGGGG